TGCTTTGGCTTTGTTTCCTGTAGTAGATCAAGTGATGTTACTCAGCAGCTTAGCTCAACAGGGGTGTGAAGGAGGAAAAGCAGTGTTTGCTGTTTGGTGGGCACCAAAGACTGGGTGTTAACCTGCTGTGCAGCACCTGCAGCTTGTTGGTACAGCTCTGCCCATCGTCTCTCTCCTGGGAGGTTCACCCTTCAGACAGGAAGAATTTTGCTTTGGCTGTTAGTGAGACAGTTAAGTCTCACCCTTCTCTCTCACCTCCCTCCCCAAAATTTTGTTTGCTTTTACTCCTTAGTGTCATGTCTTCTCTGCTGGAAGATATACCTGACAACTGCAGTTTCTACTAGCAGCTGTTCTTCTTTGTTAGTAAAGGGTCATAGTACAGGCACCTAAATGCTGCCTATGCTGCTTTGAGATGCTGTACCTAGTGCTGATTTTGGCCTAAAAATCTTACTTTGCTTTTCTGTTATAAACTGACACTTTTTAGTTTTGAGTTGGGGCCTCAGTTTTCTAGTTTTGTGTCAGGAACAGAAAACCAGTCTTTATCCAAAACAATTCAAATTCTAAGAGAAGAAAAAAATTGTCTGTTTAACGTCTAGGAGACTGAACCAAACCTTACTTGGTCTTTTATGATCACAGAGATGACCTGTGCCTATGTAGTGATTTTTTTCCTGGAGCTGATTTCTTTCTTTTCCATTCTGATCTGTACTTCTTTGATTACAGTGGGCCTATGAGTTGGGCCACTCTGGGGAGGAGCCAGTCCATATCCCACTCCAYGCCTGTGAACACTTCTACCTCCTGACACATCCATTGAAGGAGCCTCTGTCAAGCAGCTTACCAAGTAAGGATTCTTCAGCTCTTCTCACTTTTCTTGGTGAATTACACCTGCAAGGTGACTTGTAGTTTGTGACAAAAAGGCCAACCTTGGGCTATTGGTCCTTAGCTCATTTGGGATTGTGGAGTACCTTCTCACTGAATTGCTCAGAAAATCCTTTTTCAGTGGTAGAAATAATACCTTTCTTTATTTTTGGAAAGCTTTTTCTGCAGAAAATTATTTTCAGAGGTCGTCAACTTAGCAGGAGAATGACCTTGACTCTACCTTGAGTAGTAGTCCTGTCTGAGTCTTGGATTGTTACATTTGTGGGCTGGAGAGTGTGCTAGCCTTGGCACTATGTTTTCCTTGCAGGCTGCTGGCCCCAAATGGCCCATCTATTCCTTTCCTCCAACTGATGCTAAGGCTTTACAATGGCATTTACATGTCTATGAGCTGTAGGGGCAACCAAACACTTGAGGTAATTGTTCCTCCCCCATGTTCTGGCTTTTGGATCTCCTAMAAAAAAAGCCTTTGTGTTTGAAAAGTGTGGTTGGGAAATAGAAAGCTTTACTTATTTACTCTCAGTTGTTAGGAAGATTTTCTGCTTCTAGAGAGTAATATACATACTGTSCAGGGAATTCAAATCTCTGGCCAGAGTCCAAGTGCTTCACTTTTATTTGACTAATTAAAACCCCTGTGTGTGTGTGTATATATGTATGTATATATTCACATATATATATTCTCAGCCTTTCTGTACATGGCAAGAGTTGCTATGAACCATGTCAGATGGAGTAACATAAATACTTCAAATTGGCAATACCAGTGGAAAGAGCAATCCAGACCTGACTGTCCTCACCCCTGTGCTACCCACCTTCTTTGTGATGGTGGCCTGCAGCAAGCTGGATCCATGAGGCATTCCCATTAAAATTAACTGTTCTTACTGTAGGGAGAGAAAAAGGGAGAGGGTAGGACACCTCTTGGTGGAAGGTCTGGTCTTAGGTGCAGTTTCAATGGAACTAAACCAGTATAATAGCTTATCAGTGCCACAAGGAATCTGAATCCCTCTTGTGAGTTTTCAGTCCTGGGAACACTGTCCTGCAGGCTTGGGGCTCCTCGGGTTTAATTCAGTTTTCTGTACTGCCCAAAAGTTAGCATTTAGTTAGATTGTGGTGGGAGCTAATGGTTTCATCAAAACTGGCTCACCARGGTGTCACATGAGAACCAGAATGGTGTGACAGCATGGGGCTGGGGGACTGAGACTGTCCCTTCTCATGTCAGGAGACTGCTGGCRCTTGGCCTGGCGTGTGACCAGCCCCCATCACTGGTGTTTGTGGGACAACAGCCCGAGACAGACATCCCTTCTCTCAATTCACTTCCCACCTCTTTTCTTCCCTCTGTAGCTGTTGTCGACCCAGATGGCAGAATCTACATACGCAACTGGCAGGGTGGCATCCTGTCAGGAGGCTTTGAGAAAAACCCCAAACCTCTCTTCACGGAGGGACGGAACCAGCTGGAGATCCAGAACCTTCAAGAAGACTGGGATCATTTTGGTAAGTTAGGGAAGAAAGATTCCCACAGCAGTGAAACATGTGGCTTCAGCAGAAGGCAGAATTCACAGTGCAGCTGTCATTGACCTGTGGGCAYGACAAGCATTCTCTCAAATTCATTCATCTCTTCATTTGTCAGTAATTTGCCGAAAAGCCCTTTACCAAGGACTGTAGTACCTGAAGGGAGCCTACAGGAAAGTTGGAGAGGGCCTTTTGACAAAGGAGCAGAGTGCCAGGACAAGGGAGAATGGCTTACAAATGACAGAGGAYGGGATTAGATAYTRGGAAGAAATTCTTTGCTGTGRAAGTGATGAGGCACTGGCAYAGATTGCCCATTGATCAAGGTCAGGTTGAGTGCRGCTTAGAGCAACCYGGTCTAGTGGAAGGTGTCYCTGCCCAGGCAGGGGGATTGGAATGAGRTGAACTTYAAAGTCCCATCCAACCTAACCAGTCCAGGATTCTGTGATTCTGTGGTATCTGTGTAATGTTTAATAACACCCACTAACCCCCAGCATGTAATAACTTCCTGTAGAGTACCAAGGTACTACATAAACTTCCCAGCACTTCTCTTCCATTTCAGTTGATTTTTGACTGTCAGTGCCACATGCTGCACCTCTTGTGACACAGTAGATCAACACTGTTGACCTGCCACATAGCTCTGTGGTGTTTTGTTTCTTTAGCTCTCTTCAGCAGTGACTGACAAGTGCATTTCTATCAGTGGCAATTGCTTTGTGGACAGCAGTTGGTATTATTGTGGCTTCCCAGACTTCATCCCACCATTGACAGTGGTGGTTTAGTTTATATTCCAACTTTTCTGCCCTTCTCTTCCCATTTTATTTGATTATGTTTTTATATGCTGCATTTATGTTTGATAATGTTTTTATATGCTGCATGGAGGGCTCTTTCTGTAGGAAAGAGCATAGAATGATCTGTRAGTCCCCTTCTTCCCCAACCATTCTTTGATGCCTGGTAAGTTGGTATGTGCCCTCTCATCTTCAAATTTGCCTTATATTCAGGAATCCAGTTTTCCCTTGAGTCAGAACTCTCTGCATCCCTTATGAATGCACATGCCTGTTTGTGRCTCTAGGCATGGATGGAATTTCACTGATTTCTTTCTGCAGTCGTAGTATGTTCTTCCAGCTACTTTTCAGGTTAAACTGAATAATTTTACTTTGATTTCTGAGAGACACCATACTGACACTGTAAAAGTTTAAACTCCAGGGGGTGGAGCCACGATGGGGTGCTGTTTTGTGCTGGCATATGTTAAAGGTTTTTAGATTCCTAGATGCCTACAGACTTGCCTGAAGATATTAGCATCAGTAATGAGTTGCTTGAGCTCTGCACCAATTTCCTTTTTGGTTTCATTTGGCTGAAATGAAAAGGCACTGCTTGCTGGCACCCCCAAATTGCCCAGGTTTCTGAAGCAGCTGCATGCTCTGTTCCAGCATTGCCCTTTTATCCATTCAAACCTGCTGAGCAGTTGATCAGAGTCAGAGCTTACTCAGGCAGTATTTGATCCTTTTCGAGGGTTGCAGATCCTGGGGTTTGAGCTCTTGTATTACTGCTTTGATCTTTGTCGTTGGAACACCTTTTGATTTTAAAATAGGCTRTRGAGTTGCTTAAATTGGACTGGGTAYGAGAACAAATCTAGCACTGATCTCTCTTTTTATCAATAAAAAAAATAGCCTGTAACTACAGGCTCTCACTCTGGAATTCTAATGCTTGAGAGAGGGAAGAGAAAGAACAGGTCTGTAACTTMATAGGTAATGTGAAATTTGATTATTTTAGTGCTTGTGCATAAAGCTGAGGAGTGTTCCTAGGGCAGAATCTTRAAGGCTTTTATCTGGTGTACTAAGCAGAGGTAACTTTTGGGCAAGAAAAGCCAAGTAGATATCTTACCCTTTTATAAATGCTCTCAAATGTCAAACTGTGAAGAGTTGCCGAAGGACTTTTCCAGTGTGACTGGGCAATGAAGCAGTGAGGAAATTCAATGAGGATGAATGTGAAGTGACGCAAATGTGTGGGGGTGTTTGGGGATGGTCTTGTTTTCACCATGCGACATGATGGGCTTTGAGCAGACCTTGGGGTTGTATTAGTTCTGTTCTGTGAAGACATCAGTGCAATAGCAGTCAAAGCAAAAGAGAAGTTAGGAATTACTGGGAAAGGAGCAGAAAACCCTGTTCTTTATGCAACACTAAATCCTTGGTTTGCCAGATACTGGTTCTTGTTCTACGCTGCCTGTTTCCAGAGGGTATCGTAGGACTGGAGAGGGTGTGGTGGAAGAGTCTGATCAAAGCTTGGAATAGTTTCGAAGAATGGAATGACTGAGTGGTCTAGAAAAAGGAGATGACAGAAGGGAAATAAAGAGAGGTCTATAGAATCTGGAATGTGATAGGCAGGCTAGAAGGAGAGCTCCCAAACACTGCCTCTTCTAATGTTGGGAGGCATCAGACAAATCGAATGTGAGCTTTAAAACAAAAGGATTCCTCATAAAACAAATATTAACAGATGGAACTCCTTGTCCACATGTGTTGGATGTTTTCATGAGGCTGGGGAAGACTGGTCTAGTACTTTAAAAGAGAGATCAATTTAAGGGTTTCTAAGTAGAGAAAAATATACCAAATTCTTAGGCAATCGTCTAAGTTGATGGTAAGTGGAGGCTGGCAGAGAGCATGGGACAAGTGTCATGTAGATTTTCCTGTTCACCCCTAGGTGTCTATTGATGCCTGTTCCTACTGCTTTTCTGACAAAACTGAGCAGTGCTCTTGCACTGTTGAAAACAATACTGGGCTCTTGGTCTGGATCAATGTGGCTACTTTTACTCCATTTTGAATAGTGTGGTTCCAGCAAGTAAACCATTTCTCCTAGGACTGTATCAAACGTGGGAACAGTTTCAGCCTGTAGCAGCTGAAATGTGTTGAGACAAAAGGCTGTGACTTTTTGTTTCTTTATTGGTTTTGGTCCTAGGGCCACTTCTGAGCGCCCTCCTGCGCAGGATGCCAGGTTTGGAGGCTCTGCAGATCATGCAGTTGGTGAACTGCCCGGAGTCCTTCACCCCAGACATGAGATGCATCATGGGAGAGTCGCCCACTGCACGGGGCTACTTCGTTCTGGCTGGCATGAACTCAGCTGGCATCTCGTATGGTGGGGGAGCAGGCAAGTAAGTGGTCTATCACTGTTGCATGTGTAAGTAAGGCTTTAACCRAGATACTGCTCAAATGATCTGTCTGTGTACARTSTTCTGGTTGGTATTTGTCACCTCCTCTCTGCCAATGACTCCTCTTTCATTTCTGAGTTGAGTGAAGGAGAGGAGCAGTTGCTGTGTTCTGGTTATGTTCTCCAGTGTGTATTTCAAATCACTGTTGGATTCTTCTCCTGTCCTGCACACCTCTCCTCTGGCATCACATCTCAGTGAGCAGCTGGGRATCAAGTAAGCTTTCTTAGAGCTGTGTCATGGGAGGTTTAGGTTGCATATTAGGAAAAGATACTTCACCCAGAGGGTGGTTGGATACTGGAACAGGCTCCCCAGTGAAGTCGTCATAGCACCAAGCATKCTGGAGTTTAAGAAATGTTTGAACAATGGTCTCAGGCACATAATGTGACTCTTGGGATTGTCCTGTGCAGGGCCCAGAGTKGCACTCAGTGATCCATGTGTGACTCCTCTCATTCAAGATTTTCTATGGTTCTATAACTGGTCAGATATTTTTAAACTACTGGAAAGRAGTTAAAAGCTTAGCAAAGTATATGTTCCTTCATCTTCTGTGTTTTGTGATCCTCTTTGATTTATCATTTGATTAAAGTCTTCAGATCATTCAAGTGGACACGGCAATTAATTCCTCTGAAAGCAGGGTGAATCTGATGCTGATGAAGCACCATATATGTGATGCCAGTGCTGCCAAGTTGTTTAAGACTGTCCCCTACAGTAAGCTAGGAGTGGAATAATTTCTCAGTAAAATCCAATTCCTTTTAATGCAGATACTTGGGCAGGCACTTAAGAGTGATCCCAGCAGCAAAGTTGCCGAATGATCATTTCTCCCTCTGCCATTTAGTTTTGGTGACGTGTCATTCTTTCTGCCACACAGCCTTCTTAACAAGCTGCTTGTGTTTCATCCTGGGTGTCAGTATCTGCATTTGTCRTCACTGGTTTCTGGTCCATTGTCTAATAATTTAACTCACCAGGGAAACAATTCATGATTTTTTTTTTTTGTTGTCACATAAAATACAGAGAATCTTTCCAGTGAGATTCTCTTAGGAATCAAAAGAATTTATAAAGTTAAAAGCACTMTTTGTCCATTTGTCACTGTAGACCCAAAATAAACAGCTTAGCTTGCTAGTATAACTTTTCATGATCAGTTCCAAGCTCCTTTGTTTTGCTGTCTGCTGGCTGTGAACAGAGCCTTCTGCTCTGCTGAATTCTGAGTTGCCTGTCCTTTAACTCTGGAGCATGCCTTCCTCCTTCCCTGCTGGAAGTGTAGCTAAACATAACTTTCCTGGCACCTTGTGCTGAAATGAATGCTGTCACTGGTGGTTTGTGGCTGAGCCTATAACAGGCACTGAAAAACAACAAAGCAGAAGCCCCAAACTCCAACTGAATTGTACTTGCACCTCGTTTGGTATCAGAACCTGAGGAATTGACACAGTGTCAGCCAGGTTACCTGTCCAGACTCTGRCTTCATTTAGCACATGTTCTTAACTTCCTCCTGCCCTGTATGCTTCATCCTTATGGGCAGTTAGTAATTTGGAAATCTGGTGGATGCATTTTATGAAGGGAAACCTTCCAGATTCTGCTAGTGTTTAGAATACCATGTTACATGTCTTCTCTCTCCCTACTGCAAGAAATTCTCATGTCCAAACTGSTTTGCTTCTGACTTCAAAGCTATACTCTTTCCCTTAAGACGTTGGCTRATGTCTTATTTATTCTTTATTTCTTCCATCAGGTACCTGGCAGAGTGGATGGTAAATGGGTATCCATCAGCAAATGTCTGGCCTTTGGATTTGAAGCGTTTTGGAACCCTTCAGAGCAGTCGCACTTTCCTCCGTCACCGTGTGATGGAAGTCATGCGTAAGTGAGGTCTCTGCATTCAATTCTGGCCAGGCTGTGCAAGATTTTCCCCTTTGCTGCAYTGTCTCTTTTTTGCCATTACTCTTGAGAAACATTTTCCWTCTTTCTGACCTCCTTTGTGGCAATTCAGCCCCTTCCCAGGAGGAAGGAAAGGATGGATTGGATTTTTTTTTTTTTGTATTTYAGTGTTCTTAMTAACTTTAAAAAAAAAAAAAAAAGCTGTTAGCATCTTGCTCTCTGCTATTTCCGTGCTTTGCCTCTGGTATAGGGAAATTTKTATGTGTCTCTGCAGGACTCCTGCCTAAAAAAGCWATGCCAAGGTCTTAAATGGGAATGTTACACTGTCTCAAACATTGTTATTCTTTGCACATCATTACAGTGTGGAAATACCTTCACTTCCAACTTATGGCTGGGTGACCCAGTTATCTTGCATAATTCAGGAAGTCTTCATCGACATTGCTTTCTCCTGTCAAAGTTTGTGATAAATACCTTGCAGAATAGATTAGAGATGCCATTTTTTCTTGTCTMAAGCCATGCTTTGTTTCCTCCCGTTGTTTGATTATCTGTCATATTGTCTGAATATTGTGGATGACTTCTTTTCAAGTTTGAAATGGAAGTACGAAGTGCTCCACAAATTGCATAACAGGAACAATTACTTGAATACCAAGTCTAAGCTAAAAACATATGTTCAGCTGAAAGCAGAGAAGTTGGGTAAACCTCTTAGCCCTGCTRTATCCAGGGAATAAAAACCTTATGCTGCTTTGACCTTCCCTGAAAAAAATCACTTTATACTCTGGGCATTATTCTGCAGTTGCTTTCCAGTACAAACCTTAGTTCTGATAGCTACAGAGTCACACTAGTTTTTACAGAGTGACCACTGTATTGCATTTCTCTGTGTTATGATCACATTCTAATCTAGTCTTCCCTCTACCCTCTCTTTCAGGAGTACCAATGCAAGATATTGCTCATAAATTAATTAAATTATTAGCCATGAGGCAGAAATGATGGAATTGTTCAGTAAGAGATATTTGGCTTATCTTCAATTTTAAGCAGTTTCTGACCTAGGTGGAATCTTAACATTTACATAAGCAGTATTCAAACATCCTGGAGTGATTGCTCTCCACTGATAACTAAGGAGTATGCTCAATGTTTATTGGGATAGCTTGTTTTCTAAGTAAAAATATTCTGTACTGTCTGAACAGATATAGAAGCCATTTGGAAAAGCTTCAATAATTACAAAAGGCTGAACTGCCAGTTCTTAAGAAGGCAAATTAGATGGTCCCTGTATCTGTGGACTGCCTACCCCAGCATTAGCACTGTCAAAATAACTGTCTGATATRGTGCATTGCCAGGGAAGAATCCTGCATAATTAATGCTAGTCAGCATGACTTCATGAAAAATAGAGTTTTTGTTATCTTGCAGAATTGTCATGAGACCGTAAGTATCTATAAATACAAGTGTTCTGTGCAAACATTGTTATTCTGATTTTGAAGAGCTATAAATGGATCAAAACACATTTGTGGATTTTCAAAAACAGGAAAAGGAAGGTTGGAACTGTTTTGAGGGAGTTGTATTAATGGTTCRGATATTAGTAAGTACTTATAATCTGGAAGAAAAGTTTAGATAATTACTTTGCCTAATAAAGTATCTTTGTGTCCACTGCAGCCCTCATGTATGATCTGAAGGTTCCCCGCTGGGATTTCCAGACTGGCAGACAGCTGCGCACTTCACCGCTGTACGACCGCCTGGATGCACAGGGAGCCAGGTGGATGGAGAAGCATGGGTTTGAGAGAGTCAAGTATTTTGTCCCRCCTGGGAAAGGTGAGATCATTTTCTCCTTCACCTAGTGCTTCCTGATTGGCCTATGTAAGGTTTTAGTTCATCCAGTTCATCAATTTTTCCTTCGATTCTTTCTTTGTATTAGATCTGCTGGATTTGGATCACAGCAAAACCTTTTACAAACCAGACTGGTTTGATATTGTGGGCTCCGAAGTCAAGTGCTGTAAGGAAGCAGTTTGTGTTATTGACATGTCATCTTTTACCAAGTTTGAAATAAGTGTAAGTACCTAAGAAGGAGATCACCTGGTAAAGGTGACCTTTAGTTTATTATTGCCTGCTTTTGCAAAACTCTCTGTGTCCCACTGAGGATAGATAGAGGAAGTCACACTGTATGGCCAAATTCAGGTTGTACCATARTATTTAGCACAGATTGGGTTTTGTCAAGGGCCCAGTTTATAGAAATACCAGCTTAGTCTATACATAGAATTTGAYCTCTGGCACTGTGCCTCTGTTGTATCCTGTTACACTCGAGACATCAGTGTCACTATCATCACAAACTGAAACAATTTGGGCCAGGATGTTGATGTGATCTTAGGCTGCCCAGGTGGATTTGTTTTGCTCAGGCAGCTTGTCTGACTTTCTCTCCCTTTTGATTCATGTAGTCCACAGGAGACCAGGCCCTGGAGAGTCTGCAGTATCTCTTCTCAAACGACCTGGATGTGCCAGTTGGGCATGTCGTGCATACAGGAATGCTTAATGAGAAAGGAGGGTATGAGAACGACTGCAGCATAGCCCGGCTCAGCAAACGCAGGTGGGTGTGCAGACAGCGTCTTTAGCCACCCCACCTTGGGTGTCAGAGCCTATAAGGACTTCATGAAGATCAGAAACTTTTGTCACCACCCCAAACTAAAAAGTCTCTGTTCTCCACTAGTATTCCTAATTCAGTAACTCAAATGAAAGGGAGCTTCTGAACTTAGACATATAGTGGAAAAAAAAGTCTTTTTCCGAGGATCACAGGTGAACATAGATTTCCTCAAAGTATTAGACCTTCAGATATTTCATTTCTCAATTGAAACTTAAATTGTTTTCTGCAGTCACTGGAGTTTATTAATTTAGGGAGCCATGTAAAGTGCCAACTAACTCCTGACCAATGTCCTTACTGTAACTGTTCACTGAAAATACTGCTTTTTGATTATTTCAATTTGCATTGCAGTATATGTAGTCTAATTCTCAGTTCTGCACACTCTCATAATTCTTTTTTGTGCTCCCTGATGCAAACTGACATGATCACAGGATTTTACCCTTAGACTCACTAGTTTGGGCTCTCTTTGGCATCTAATAAAAAGCTTTGTCGTTTTTAAGAACTTCATGGCCATATCCCAGCTGAATGTTGGATTTATTTTTCTGGATGATTTTCTATGTGTGTTTTCATTGTATTGATGTGAAAGCATTTTGTTGCTGCTCTTTCAATTAGAAACAGCTTTTCTTTCTCTTCCACTTCTGTCTGCATTCATGTATTGCTTGAAAGTATTGTCCTTCTCTGTGTGAAACCAGTAGCTTCCCTCCTTGCCTAGTGATTTCTACAGATGTTATCTCTTGTCAATAATGTACTTTAAAATGCAGTTTGTATCAGACACACACACAAGCAGCTTATTTTCCCATATCAAGTGGAGTTCTGTTTTTGGAAACTSTTGATAATAACCACTATTGTGTGTGAAAAGACTTTCGCTGAAACAAGAAATTGCTGTGTGAACCATCCAGTCCTGGCTGTCAGAGTAGACAGAATCACTGGTGATGAGAAACTGCGAGTCCCTTTTGCAAAGCAGTTGTGACTTTTGAGATACTCTGTCAACTTTCTGCAAAACKGCCTGTATTCCATCTAGTGACATCTAGTCACTTCTTGTCGCCAGACCATTGGTAATGCTTGAAGGGGGGAATTTTTTGTCATGACAGATGTGGTGGCAGTGATCCAGAGACTTTAGCTGTGGTTTTCACAAATCAGCTTGTTTTGGTCTCCTGTTAGCTTGGAAGCTGCTGAATAGCTCAAGTAGTTAATGAACAAGGAATGACCTGATTCACTTTGAGACTGTTCATTGTTTCTTGGTTTGATTTGTCTGTTCCAGCTTTTTCATGATTTCCCCCACTGACCAACAAGTTCATTGCTGGTCCTGGCTGAAGAACCACCTGCCTGATGACAGCAACCTGGTCATGGAGGATGTGACCTGGAAGTACACAGGTAAGAAGTCACTGAAAGCAGACCTCCTCAGACAGCTCACAACCACAAATGGTGTCTTGTGCTGTAAGCCAGTTAATTGTTTGAAGTGCCTGCCGTGGTGATTTGGTCTCCCTTCCAAATATTTGGATGAAAACAGTAATTCAGAGACTTCCTTCTGGCAAGCCATAGGCAGGAAGATAGCTTTCCTTTACTGTGGATTGTCAGGAGAGAATTTAATGCCTCTCTTCTCTGTTCTTAAATGTAAACGTATCTGTTAGTTCAGTAAACACTAAGACTTTAGAAAATGGAGCACACAATCTCATTAGACACCAGGCAAGATTTCTCCAGTCTTATCCTAATGCTGTTTTGTTCCCCTCTTTAGCTCTCAATCTGATTGGCCCCCGTGCTGTGGATGTCTTGTCAGAGTTGTCATATGCCCCAATGACTGCAGAACACTTCCCCTCTCTCTTTTGCAAGGTGAGKGACTGTGCTTCTGTCCTCATGCTGCCAGGTTTTTCAAAGCATGCRTGAAAGGAGAGGAAAAACTATGTTTTGGATAATTGGAGGAGATTTAGATATAAARTTTACTGCAATTACTGAGCTAAGTTGGTTATGAACTTGCTAGTCTCACTTCTCTTTGTGTTCTGCTTGCTAAATATATAGGTGAATATGCATTTGGTTTCAGTATTCCTCTGACTGTAGACTTGTTGCCATTTGATATCTTGACATATTTCGTATAATCAATTATGAAGCTGTCAGARGGGCAGCTGGGATCAGGGACTCTGGCGTCATTGTCTTCTGTCACGTTAAAAGGCTGAGCAGATAGCTGCTATTCAACTTCTGTCTGGTGTCAAGAATACAACCTGTGTCTTGACCTAGCTCCAGGGCTTWTTGCCAAGTGTCAAGAAGTGACTAACAAGTCTGGATAATGTGACATCGCTATTTGAATTTGGAAATTTAAATTYATTGCAAGTATGTGTGGGTGGCAAAGGGGAGAGAGGCTGGGCAGTGTGGATGTGTTATGCATTGTGCTCCTTCCGGATCTCTGTGCTGTGTTCCAGTTTGGATGATTTCACCCCCTCTGATTCTGCAGGAGATGAGCGTGGGCTATGCTAATGGCATCCGTGTGATGAGTATCACTCACACAGGAGAACCTGGCTTCGTGCTTTATATCCCCATAGAGGTAAGAGTGCACTGCAGCCTGAGCTAATTCAAGCAGTTGCTTGCATGTATAATTGGGAACATTTTCCAAGTCGACTCTGGGTGATGAGCTGTCTGGTTTGCACCAAGGAAAAGCTGCCTGAAGGCACCAGGGGGAGTTTCCTGGCTTTATATCACATTCCAGTCGGGCAGAGCTCTTGTGCTCCAGTGGAAGGGGATGGTGGCATTCTGGTGGTGTCAGATGCTGTTGCTCTCTCGTGGTGTCAGTCTGTGCTTCACTCTTCCATTGCAGTATGCCCTTCACGTGTACAACGAGGTGATGAACATGGGACAGAAGTACGGCATTCGGAACGCCGGCTACTACGCGCTCCGCAGCCTGCGCATTGAGAAGTTCTTTGCATTCTGGGGCCAGGATCTGGATGCTTTTACTACTCCTATGGAGTGTGGACGYGAGTTCCAGGTCAAGCTGGAAAAGGTACACCATCTTCTGCACTGGGGTTGGTGGGAGAGCAGAACTGGACTGAAAGGCTGCCAGCCAAGCAGATGGATGTGTTTTTATGGAGCTGTGTGCAGTAGGTGTAACATATATTCTTGTACTTCAGAAGGCTGCTAAAACTACAAAAATGCTCTATCTTCTTCCTGGGCAGCATTCCCAGTGACCTGTGCCTGGTGCTGCTTATGTGGCCTGGTGCAATGCCCAGTGTGGCAGAGGGTGCTCTGTACCTTACAGATGCTCASAATTCTTTCTTCTCCAAGCTGTTTTCCCAATCTGATAGAGCAAAAGCCAGCCTCTGCACCAAGTGGCATTTAATCATGTTCAATATGAGGCTAGCACCAATAAAAGGTGTTCTCTATTTTTAATAAAACGGGAGTTCGTAGAAAAGTGTAGAGTTGTATCGAGCTTTTGCCGTGGCAGGTGCTGTTGATACCACTGTCTTGTTTTCTTTCTTACCATCTTGGAACGAGCCAAAATAAATGCTTGTGTCAATTCAAGAAAAGAATGTAGTGACTAAAGATACAAATTTCACCTTAGTTACAGTCTCCTGGTTTGTAAAACGTGGTAGTCTTCTGGAGCAAGAGAAATGGCAAAAATTGATTTTCCCTAGGGTAAAAATTAGAATTTTTTTTTTAAGGATCAGCTTCACAAACATTTCTATGTCTTTTAACATCTGGAGCAACAAACATGACAGAAAAGCTTTTTGACCTGAGCTTCTTGCATATGGAGGCAGCCTATTTTGATAGGTCATAGGTTCCAAGTGTAAATTACCCTTGTGTGGGCAAGCTGGTCTGCCACAGCTCAGCATCTGCCACAGTTGGTTCCCTCACATCAACTGATGCTCCCTTCTCCCCACAGGGAATGCAGTTTCTGGGCCAGGAGGCACTGTTGGARCAGAAGCAGAACGGTGTGTACAAGCGCTTTACCATGTTCATTCTGGAGGACCATGACACGGACATGGACCTCTGGCCCTGGTGGGGGGAGCCCATTTTCCGCAACGGCCGCTACGTGGGCAAGACCACCAGCAGTGCCTACAGCTACACCCTGGAGCGCCAYGTCTGCCTCGGCTTCGTGCACCACTTCGATGAGAAGACGGGAGAAGAGCTGGTGGTGACGACTGACTTCATCAACCAGGGAGAGTACGAGATCGACATTGCYGGGCAGCGCTTCCAGGCCAAAGCCAAGCTCTACCCCTTCAGCTCCCTCTTCACACAGCGGCGCCGCAAGGATGAGGTGGAACTGAGTGGCTACCAGAGGGAGTAGTGCTGAGTAGACTAGACCYGCTCCTTGTCCCAAGCTGGAGTTTTCTTCCACCATCTTCCAGCCCTTTCTCCTCACCTCATATATTTCTTTCTTTTCCTTTCTTCTCTTGCAACTTTTAAACTTTTTCCAGTGTGTTACATTTTGTATATTTTAAAACTTTAATTTTCAAGCTTTYCCAACCCTGTCTGTCTCCCTCCTTCAACCCTTGCCAGGCTCCCCTGTTCCCCAATGAATGAAGCACTGTGCTGAACATGCAGGGCTGCTTGTGTAGGAGTGAACCCCACCAAAGGCCCTGACCTTCTAGTGATGAGAAGGGTYGGGGTGAGCCCTRAGGACTGCACCCTTCCTCKCTCCTCTCCAGCACAAGGSATGGGACAGCAGGTCTTTGCTGCCTGTGGTTCAGATGAWGGCTGACCTCACCCTGCTCTCCACATACCATGTTGTAGAGGGGTCGGTGTGTCGACGCACACAGCAATAGAACGATCAGCTACCTCACTGGCATGAGACAAAGCATTGTGTGAGCACAGCCAAGAGACAGGTTTTGGTGTTGTCCAGCCTGTCACTGCCCTCCTTTGTCCACCATTTCGGTTTTTCCCTAGCAGGGAGTCAAGTAGATTTAACGTCAGAGTATTGAGATGACAGTACTGTTAAGTTTGTTGTTGGTGGGATTGGATTTTTTGTGTGGGGTCACTGAAACTAAATGGCCTTCTATAAATATAGTCAAAGATCAACATGTGCATTTCACTTCTATAAAGGAATGTTGTTTTTTCTTTTTTATTAGCAAGAATACTGATTCCTAACAAGGACAGATGTTAGTGTTTAATGTTAAATAGCAGTGTTGAAATGCTGCTTCTGTTTAAGCTGCACAATATACAATCTCTTTGGGGATTGTCTTTCACTTTCCTTTGTTTATGTGACTTGGTCAAACTTGTCTGGCAAGGTTCATGGAGAAGTTGTGCTGGTTTGGGGAACTTGAGCAGCAGAAGGGGATGTTATCTTCAAGTTTTARCTGCCCATGATTATTTTGAAATTGTAGGGAAAGACACAGCACAGTCTCCCCTGTGGTGTGAGAAACACTGGGTTTTCTACCAGTGTTGAGMAAACATCTCAGCAGTTCCTGCTGGACTCAAGAAGTTGTCTTCWGTTTTTCTCCTCAAATCTGTTGCAGTTCTTTGTCTCTCAGTAGTACCTCAACTGAAGGGGTTGAATAAGGGAGTGAACAGAGCATGGTACTGGGATTGTGAATTGCTTTTCTTMAGCACTGCTCTTTGCATCTGGCTTCTCATACAGATACTCCAGATAGTGCAGCTGGAAATTCACCCCTTCTGCCGATGTCAAAATGTGCCAGTTCAATCACTGATGGTAAATGGTAAAGAAATGGGGGAATGCTGAATTGCCTTGTACACATTTTCATCATCTTCTTCTTCATGTTTTGAGCACAATCAAAAACAAAGACTCTTTTTATTTACTTGAAAAAGATCTGTTAGATGTTTTCTCTGCCTCTGACACCACATACTCCTCATGGTCTTTCTGCTTCAGCATCTCTTCTGGAGTTCAAACACAATCTTGCACTGATGTCTGCCCTGTCAGCTGTGATGAATATTTTCTCTATGGTCTAGAACCATTTTTGGGCACTTTATTTTCCAGTTAAATGGTGAGCATCAGTAGTGTAAATATGAGCTCAAAACCTTCTCTTGGTTCTTCTTTTATGTTTGCTGTCTGCTGCTTTAGTTGCTTTAAGCTGTGCCTTCAGTTGAGTCTGTGGCTGCCAGTTCAGGAAATTGTAAGGGAATTTAGGATTTGAGCATATGGTATAGTAGGTTGAATGTAGATGTCACTTCCCTGAGCATGTGTTCCTTTGTCCGTGGTGAATTCCACTGAAGCATGTGGCTTCTTCCAGCMTTTCAAGCTTAGTTCTGAATTGACATGCAAAATTTTCCAGTTTCTGAAAAGGAGTGACCACACTGGGTCACTTTTTGAGATCTCGCAGCCCAGAGTACTCTGTGTAGCTGCTGTAGGCGGAGATTCTGCCTGCTTCTCATTTCTTCCAAATTCCTCTGTTACTGCTCTCTGAATTGAAATTTTGCCTGGTRTGTTAGAATAAATTGCTTAAATGAAAGGTTTGTAAAGCATCTAATAGCAGTTTAAACTCTGTAATTACTTCTTGCATATCTTTTCTTCATAGAAAGATACCACAATCCCATGCTGGATGTCTGTACCAGGGAGAGGCTTGGTCCTTCTCCACTGGTTTTATGGGACACTGCTTTGCCTTCCTTATACAGGGAAACAGGCATTCATCCAAAGAAAGAGATCTGTATGTGATATTTAGAATGTAGAGCAGCCCTTCTGCTTAGCGTTCATTGTCTGTTGGTTGTTGCTGTGTGAGGCACGATACTCCTTCAGGAGAAGGCAAAGTATAGGGCCAAGGTGTRCTGAAGTGTGTAATGAAACTGCTGAAGAGAGATTTTAGCTCAAGCTGTTCAGTTCTCTGCAGAGTTGGAACTAGTGAAGACCACACTGAAAAGCTAGCAGCATGCTGTCCTCTACCGACCACTCGTTCCAGCCAGATTATGTTCTTCCTTGTGATTATTTTTCCTTTYCCCTAATTTATAGGTGCCTGATAGATCCTCAGGCAACTTTTCATACACGGATGTCTCTTCTCCAGCATTCTGACAGTAAAATTGTGTTTTATGAGCTACTTTAGTCATTATGTCTGCTAAGGTTTATTTTATGTCTGAAAGGTTTATTTTATGTCTAGATCTATTGACTTTTCCATACCAAAAATAGAGAGTGAAAATAATTTTCCACCGTGCTGGTAGATATAGCAACACTTTGTGTAATGCTGTGTTTGCTGTTTGAGACTTGGGTGGTTTGGTAATTGTCAGTCTTGCAGCTCATTAACGCCTACTCTGGCCTTCCCTGCTATGAATTCTGTTCTTGTTTTATATCAGAACCTGAGAGATCTTTTACTGCTGTTCAGGCTTAGTCAATTTAATTTCTGGTGTAGCTATTTTTAAACTTACAATGTAAAGAATAGTTTGCCTTTACCAACTTGAACATCCGTCAAGAGGACAATTGGATCACATTTTAAAATTGTGATACTGAGGTGGAGGAAGATCCTTCTAGTGTAGTGTTTTCATCTAGAGGTATTAAGCGGTGATGCAAGACTCTAATCCCTTTATCTGATGATTAAAGTAGAGTGCCTAAAAAAAGAACAACAAAATCTGTTGAAGAATTACTACCTTTAGTACACCTTTAAATTAGAAAATTAGAAATCACGTCTTCGAAGCTGCTGTGGCACAGCTTTAACATCTAAGGTGGTAAATAATGTGGACTGTAAAACTCTGCATCCTGATTCTCATTGTTAAAACTGCCTTAAAATGCTTTTTGCTAAAAAGGGTGGTTTGTTCTCATTCTGCACAGTGAGACTATGAACCTTGGATTGGGAAACACAAAAATAGCATCCCTCTCTGTGGCAGTGGAAGGAGAAATGGCCTCATTCTRTGCTGAGGCAGCAGCTGCAGGTCTGCTCTCTGCACCTCGTGTGTATCAGTCRCAGGGTTGTTACCAGTTCTCTGAGTCTTCCTGTTCAGAATGGGAACAGCCCTGTAGATTCCATTCATACAGGCATCTTTGCAGGGAAGGTAGCCAGTGAATTCTTCTAAATGTGCATCCATGGGAAGGGCTGACTTGCCCAAGTGCCATCTGGAGTCGGGAGGACTTGTGGAAAACATAGYGCTTCCTTCCATCAAATAATTTTTCTAGAGATATTACATTGTCTTAACCTTGCTGTGTCCTAAGTACTCGTGTTTTATTAGTCTTTGAGTGAGTACTGCAAGGCTTGAGTAAAACTGGTACCAGAAAAGCATGAGTTTGTTGTTCATATTTAACGATCTGAGGATAAAATTAACAGTCTATTTATAAAATTATGTTTTCTGTGTCAGGAGGATATGTTACAATAATTTTCACATCCATCTTTCCAGACTTAGTTTCTTTTTATTTTCTCCAGTATCTAGATTTGACAGGCCTTGTTGGACAGTTTCTTATTTTGTGGCAAGGAAGGGAGGCTGTGTGAAACTTCCACTGCATCTYGGTGTCTTGGTGTAAGCTTGGATTCCTCCTTTCTACTGTTGCATTTGAGTTGCCATCGATCATGTTGCTCTTCCTGTAACACCTCCAAACTCCAGCCTCTGCTGTTGTAGAATTTCTCATGCACAAGGTTCTTCTCTTCCTCCTACCTGATGCTTTGTCATCAGAGCCAGGTTGGCTCTAGATCTGTGTCTCTACATTAACTKAAGTTCTTCAACTCTTAGATGGTGCTGATACCAACATCCGAACTCCCAGGCAGGTTTGTGGCTGCTGTAAATCCCATAATTTAATGCTCCCTTTCCCTGTGCCAGGATTTTCCCACTGTCCTTAACACTTCTCTAGTCTCCTTCCTCAGATGGCTGAGTGCATTAGTTCCTTTTGCCATCAGAGAGCGAGACGTGGCAAAATAAAAACTGGTGCAGGGATGGTGGAGTGGCTGAGCTGAGGTGGAAGGAGAGATGTAATGAAGGTTTGATCCTTTGCTTWTTACTCAACTCCTTAAGCCCACCCTTGGAGAGATGATCAGCCCTGATTCCCAGCTCAGGAGCATCTTCCTCTGCAGTCTTGGTGCTGGACAAGTGAGATCCATGGCTCTAGGCAGAGTTGGCACAGCATAAGCACTTGTTTCCCAGCACACATTTGCCCCTCTCGCTGGGATGAAGGAAATGGTGGTGCCACACAGGAGAAGTGGGGGCTGTGTTCAGTCTGTGTGCACACAGGAGAGGTGCAGGCTGATTGCCTGGAGCACTTTTGTCTCCCTGGCACATTCTTCCCGCTGTAAAGGTACAGCGCTGACAGCACCAGCCTCATCCTTCCAGCACATTTGAACCACATTGGTGAATTTTGGGAAGGAATCTGTAAAAACAAGGTAGTTTCTGTTTCAGGGGAGTGGGGAGTTTCTTGCAAGGGCAGAAGTAATTTTTATTTAAACCACAACACTTGGCTGCTGATAATGTCGAGCAAAATGTTCACGAGCTTCATATTTGTCTTCCCAAATAAGTTTATTATGATACTGGGTCAGAATAATTTCTGCCCATTTCAGGATGTTTTCCTGTTTAAACTAACTTTTCCTTAATTGATTGTTTGGATTTCTATTTAAAAAAAAAAGGCACTTAGTCATGGAACAGAATTTGGGGAAGGTAGGGATTGGTGTCATCTGATGACTTCAAACTGTCACTAAAAAGCATTTTAAAATTTTCTTTGCACTTTAAAATTTCCTTAAGTATTATGGCTATAAGCAATGTGCTTATAGCYCTTGGCATGAGTAGTCCTTGCATTTGAGAGAGGAAAAAATTACTTTGAATATTTMTAAATGCCTTAAAGCTTTAGGTGAGGTGTTTGGGCGCTGACTGTGCCTGCCATTTGATTCCCTTCCTGGAAAGCCGTGTGCTGCATGCCCAGAGCTGGTAATTTTTAGCAAGCTCTGGGGGATGGTGGAAACTGCTGTTGCAGTATGAGACTGGAATTTGTATGGAGCTGGGAGCCCCTGTGCTGTCCAGCTGCTGGGCTGACACCTTCCTGTTTGTTTCCCCCCAGAAATGGATTTATTCACTTTTTCCTTGTGGTGTAATGGGTTTTCTTCTTTCTCTAAAGAAGCCTGGGCTGGTGTAGCGTACTCTGTGAGTGTCCTGTTGCATTAAAGGAAACAAAATTCTCTGCCTGAATGCTTCCCTGCTGTACCAGCTGACATTTGCAGGYAGGAGCTGGGAGAAGCAGGAGTGGAGGGGATCTGCTGCTGCCCATCGTGTTTGCTGAGATGGGCAAACACATTTGTCTCAAAGCTGAGCTGGATTACTGATGTCAGGCTGGCTTCTGGATTACAGCACAAATCAGAGCTGCTTTGCAGGTGTGGCACGCTGGGCTGATGTTCTGTTAGAGMTCCTGCCTGCTTGGAATAAGGAATTCCAACAAAGAGATCAGTATGTTATAATGAGGGAAGTGTTCACTTTAATATTTACTGATTTGTTAATACTAGAAACAGTTTATCTTCCCACAGATTCTTGACACCTGCTACAAGCAGAGCAGATACTTGGGAACTGTCAGCAATCCCAGCTAGGACCTGAGAAAAATGCTGTGCTATTGCCTTTCACTATGGCACTGCTGAGATTTTTTCCACACTAAAATTCCCTCTTTTTTCCACAGTGGGACTCTTACTCATAACTCTCACTTTTTCCAGTATAACCAGTGGCAGATTAGTTTCCCTGAAATCCTTGACAGTCTCTCCTGTATCTCCTGGTCAGGCTTGCAGCAGGACCCTCATCCAAACCCCTTCATGCTTTYGTCTCCTGAGACCAGAGTTTAAAAGGGCTGGGAAGATTTCTGATGCGTGCTACTGCTGGAATTTTAAGAACAACTGAAGTTTGAACCTGTGAAAACACTTTTCTAGTGCCTTAYGCTTGTGAATGTTGTGCAGTGGATGTAGCTGAGTTGGGACAGAGCAAGGAGCAATGGCAGCTGCATGGTTCCCCCTCCACTGTGGCAGTGTYCCTCTGCCCTCACAGGGCCCTGGGAAGCAGATACCAGCAGGTTCTCTCCAGCCCTCAGGGAGGTTCATTAATCCCTTTGCAGTGTGGGTCAGAGAATCCTTGTTCTGGGTACTCCGCCTTAGAGGGGAAAAGTGGTCTCACCTCTGCTGAGTTTGGATTTAGAAGGTTTTAGGAGAGACAAAGCTGCTCTGATTGCCAGACACCATGGCACAGGACATGGACAGTTGTTCCCAAGCGCACAAGCCAGGGTGAGTTTGCTGCTCTCCACTGAGGCCATGTTGTCATGTATGCTGTATTTATATCATGCTTGATTTCATTTCATATTTTGGTTTGCTTAAATGTTGCTAGGTTTGTATATTAATAAAGAGGCATTTTAACTACTTCTGAATTTTGCCATTTGTTGTGCAAGAGCCTTGTGTGTCAGCATCTAAACCCCCCTGGTTGTTTGTGTGGGATCCTGCAGGGACACCAGGCTTGTTGCAGGGTCCAGCCTTAGGAGCTGGAGTGAGTTCTGGATGTGCTGGGTCATCCTGGGGAAGTCCCTTCCCTGCCTCTGCCTGCATCCACGTTCAAAATTATGTCCTTCAATAGTTTTGTCCACGTCATTTCCTCTGCTGTACTGGGGCTGTGTGGGACCAGAGCCTCTGTTTTAGGGCCCAGCAGGGTTGGGACATAGATGTGGGGTCTGGGTGAGCAGTGGCATCACCAGCTGTTGGGTTCTGGCTGGAAGTTGTSCTGGGGCTCTGCTGCTGGGCACCCAGGCTGGTGTGGGGCAGGAGCAGTGAGGGGACATTAACCCCACAGGGGGCTGGTGCCTGGCCCGGGAGAGGATGGGAGAGCAGAGCATCTTCTGGGCCCCAACAACCTTCTCCTTTCCTTTCCCTCCTCTCCTGCCCTCATCCATGCCTAAGTTTCGGTGCAGATGAAGGCACAGGAGGCAGGGCTATCAGAAGAAAATCACCAAGCAGATTTGATGCATGGTTTTTATTGAYTTAAAAAAAACCAGTTGGTTTAAGACAGTTGTGTGCAGAAGTACCCATGTACACAGAGGCTACGGGCTGAGCTGCTTGCCCACTCCTAGCACGGGTCTCTCCCGGCGGGGCAGGAGCCTGTGGGTGCTCAGATCAGGTCCCGTGTGATGCAGACAACCCTGCCAGGTGGGCCAGCCTGGGCAGCTCCTCCCTGCCAGCCCGGGCAGCTCCTCCCTGCCCGCCCCTGCCCGTAGCCTGTGCCTACACCTCCTCTATGTACAGTACAGTGGTGTTCTGGCCGTGCAGCACGCGCCTGCCTGCGGCCGCCCTGCCAGGGAGACACGAGTGGTCGCGAGTCCTAGTGGGACAGCTTAAATAAAAAATAATAATATAATAACAATTAAAACAACAGAAAAAAAAAGGGGGGGAGAGGAAGGAAATAGCTAAAAAAAATAATACTGTCAGGGCAGCCAGGAGCCGTGAGCGCGCCCGTCACTGGATGCCAGCACTGTGCTGCTGGAGGGTTTGGTACCTGGGGTTGGTACCCAGCATCTCTGCTCACYCTGGGATTGTCAGGCCTGGCCCTGCTCCTCCAACAGGAGCTGGTCCAGCCTCCTCACACAGCATTTGGCCTTTCTAGCCACCAGCACAGTGGCCTGGATGTGTCCTCTCTCCCAGCAGCACTTCCCCGCTAAGCTCCAGCCTGGTGCAAGGAAGGAAGTGGGTACAACTGCCAGATCCATCGGCCACGTCCCTGCCGCTAGCGCAGGCACAGCCTGGCGTTGCCGATGGGAGATGGTCAAGGCACTCTTTGTTGCTCGTGGTTTTGTGGTTTTAATTTTTCTTCCCTGTAAAAAACTAAACAACAAAAACCACCCAGGAAGGTGGAGAGCAGGGCTTGCAGCAGCCTGTGCCCCAGGGCTCGGGGCTGCCTGCACCAGGGCAGCTCCACTCCAAAACCCACCACAAAACTCAGGAGTTTAAATTCCTGCAGAYAGAAAAGCTGAATTTCCCAGCCCAGGGGCTGAGGAGTTGCCTGCTCCAGGTGACCAACTCCCACCCTCGTGTTTTACAATTGCAGAGAAACCTCAAAAAAATAAACACAAGAAAACCCTGAAAAAACAACCAAACCAAAGTGGAGAAACAGGTAAGAGGCTGCTACAGAAAAGCCAGATACAAAAGGGTAAAAAAATCTTCAAGTCCAAAAAACCCTACAGTGATTGTTCCTCAAATTAACTATTGCAACCCKACAGCATGGGCAGAGCTTCTCCAGATGGGCCCTGCCCCACAGCCCCTGTCCCACTCTCAGCACTGACTGCGCAGGCGGAGGGTCGCTCTCTGTGGGATCTTTTCCATGGTTGCCTTTTTCTTGAGCTTTTCAACATCTCCTAAAAAGACCCCACCCACCTGTCTGACCCAAAGAAAGTGGTTTTAATGACACCTCTGGGGAGGCAGTTTCTTTCAGCATCTGCCCACCCTGTGTCATAGGCAGCCTGGGCAGCCCTGGGGACCCTGAGGGCACCGGCTGTACCAGACTGGTGTAAACCAAGCGCCACTGTGGCAAACGGAGCAAAGACTTTGGGATTTCAGCTTCTCACCAGAGCTGTTTAGAGCAACACAAAACCRAAAGCACAGTTCACTCACCACTAATCTCTGATCTGTTTTTTCTCAGCCTGAAAGCAAAGGAAATCCTTTCTCCTTGACCCTGCTGCATCCCACAACCCCTTGAGCATCCTACAAGTGCTCACAGAGCTCAGCCAGAGGAACCAGGCTGCTACTCCTGTAGATTTCTTAGCTGCCTCTGTACAGTCACTCCCGAAATCTGTCCTACCCTTCCCCAGTCATCAGGTAGAAGAACAGGGATTGCTGGGCCCCAAAGGTAGGGTTCTTCTTCAATCTCCCTGCACAGCTGTGCCAGCAGTTGGCAGCCTGCAGCAGAGCATCGATGATGGTTGGCTTCCTGCAGTTTCTGGCATCCCACCATGGATCTGTGCGCTGGAACCTTCCCCTGTACCAGGAGCCTTCCCTGGAGAAACTACAGCATCAGCTGCCCCAGGTGGGTAAAAGAAAAACACCAAAATAAAGGAAAAAAGAAGCAGCTGGTTCCACAGGTGAGGCTGCGCAGCCRCCACAGCTCCCTCAGCCACCTCGTCCCGGACACGACGCTCGAGGGATTCCCCAAAGTCACACRGCTTCGGGGCGGGGGGGTTGTCTTGTTTTAAAAAGAGCAGCATTTGGTTTGACTGTAGAGAGATGCAAGGCGGCCGCCCCTGCCGCCTGGTCAGTCACTGATTGTGTTTATAAATCCTTTCTCAGCTGGGTTTCTTAATAATAATAATAATTATAATTAAAAAAAAAAAGCAAAAAGTCTCCTTTAGCTCTGAACCTGATTGGCTGCTGGAGGCACCAAATGCCACCGGGGTGGCTCTGTCAGCAACGCGGAGCTGCGCTGCCCATCCGGCGCTCGTCGCCCGAGGCCACCAGGGAGACCTTCACCCTCTGTCCCCGCAGGCAGCAGGACCTGGCARAGCAGGGAGCCGGAGGCTCAGCCCTCAGTTTCCCCGGTAAACCTCGATCTTGCTGGTTTTGGCCAGCATRTCGATGATGTGTGCCTCGAAGTCGGCATCGTGCACCCCCGTCTTCCTGAACTCCCCGGCGTAGCGGTTGTTCTCCCAGTAGTGGTGCCAGTTCCCCCGGCTGTCAGCACCRAACCCAAAGACGTTCACCTGCAGCAGCAAGGGAGGAAGTGAGCAAGAACCCCCCACCAGGCTGGGGACACCCTTGTCTCAGCACCCCCTGCACCCTGGGGGGATTTTTGAAGGTGCCCATCCCTCTGCACAGCCTCCCCCCACTGCAAGGGTGCCCATCACTGTGGTGTCAGGCAACCAAAGTGACTTCTTTGACCCAAAYAATCCACCTCCTCCCTTAACCCTGYAGGGCTCAGGATCCCAGCAAACCCACTCCATGCAAGCCAGGAGCTGAAGGAGCCATCACCTACCTCGTCACAGACATGGAGGGCAAAGAAGAGCACCAGCATGCCAGTGGAGGGGTAGCGCCCGTGGTGCTCCGTCCAGCGGTCGTGGATGTACTTGAAGAAGGCAGGATTGTAGATCTGCACCTGGGAGGACAGACTGGGGTTAGCACAGGAGCTCCAGCCATGCTCCCTTTGGTATCAGCACCCTGTGAAGGAGCACTGGGAACCCTGGGGGATGATGGGGATGGGGTGATGGTGCCATGGCCATACAGGTGCTCATGGCAGTGGGAGGGATGAGCCTCACATACCTTTTCTTTGTCCACACGCAGAAAAGGCTTCACAGGTGCGTATGTGCTGGGAAAAGAGTGGAGAGGCAGGTGAGCTCTTGGGGGTCTCACGCCCCCAACTCCAGCCTGAGTTACCAAAGGAATTCTCTGAGAGGGAAAAACTGATGAATCCTCAGTGTTCCCAGGGGAGCTGTCCTCAAGCTAGGTGAGCCACCAGCCTGGCACTGCCAGTGCCCACCAGGTACTTACAACCTGATCTGGCCCGTGGAGAGGGCACTGGCGATCCAGAGCAGGTCCAGGGTTTTGAAGGGCACRAGCACAAAGCTGACGTTGGCGGGCAGGTTCTTGGCACTCTCGGGGTACATGAAGTGGTGYGTGGTCCGGCTGCCCACATCGCCCTCAAAGCCCACCGTGGGAGCCTGGTTCATCCTGGGGAGAGAGCAGGGAGGATGACACCATCCTCCCAAACCCCTGTGCCTTGCAGATAACAGAGATGTCCCCCAAGAGCTGCTGAATGCTGCCAAGCAGCAGTTTCCCACCCAGGGAGGGTGGCAGGGCTGGACTCAGTCCCACTCATCCCAGAGCCCAGTGGTGCCAGCATCACCCCGTGTCTCTGTGCCGCCCGGGTGGGCAGGTCCCTGGCAGTGCTCTCTGGCCCTCACCGCATCACGAAGTCGTGCCTGTCAATCTCTGGCCCGTAACCAGAGCCGCGCAGGTTGCCTGAGTTGCCAACCACGGCGCAGCGGCGGCAGCGGCGTGGGTCACGGGAGCGGTAGGGATCCTCGCCYGGCACGATCTGGAAGAGCTTGCTCAGGACCTCGTGGGTGTTGTGGGACTTGAACTGGGGCTGCAGCATCTACAAGGAGCAAAGGGGGGAATCAGCCAGCGCCCCCCTCCTTGATGGTGGAGGAGAAACCCGTGCCCCCTGTGCCAGAGCACATCATGGCATTCCCAYGCCTGCGCTCACCATCCACCACCTCTGGACGTCGGGCGGCAGGTCCATGTTCTCCTTGGTCCACACCGGGGACACGGCGCCGTCATAGCGCCCGTCAAACCAGTCGGTGGCCCCGGGCTCCTCGGGCGGGCAGCGGCGGCAGGCGCAGCCCCGGGGGTACAGCCCCCCTTTGCTGAGCCGCTGCAGCCCGGCATAGCCCGGGACCAGCTTCACCCGGTGGATGCCGCCCAGCCCGCCGGGGTCCAGGTAGGCGATGCTGTGGTGGGAGTAGGTGAAGAGGAGGGACATGACGAAGACGAGAAGGAAGGCGGTCGAGAGGAAGCAGAAGCGCAACGAGCACTTCATGGTCGGCGGGTGGCTGAGCCGGGGACGGCGCCCGCTCCGGCACAGGGCGCGGGCATAGGGCGCGGGAGGGCGTCAGCCGGCCAGCGAGGCTCCCTGCGGGAACGAGAGCTGTAACTACCGGTGTGGGGGATATGGAGCCTCCCGGGACCCACCGCAASGGGCTCATACCTGCTGGGCTGCAGCTTTCCATCCGCCTTGTCCGGCCGCGGCGATGGCCCCCGGTGGCTCCACGTGCCGGGCCGGAGCGGCGGCTGAGGGGTCCGGCAGCGCTCGGCGCACCCGCCTCAGCCGCGGCACCGCGCCCCGGCGGCTCCTCCAGGTCCCGGCCCCGGCTGGCGCTCAGCTGCGACGGTGCTCATCATCCCCGGGCTTTAGCTGATCCGCTGGCACGCTGCCCTCGGCCGCTGGCTCGGGAACACGGCCGCCACGACACCGGCCTGCAGCGGGAACGAGGGACGGCGGGTCAAGAGGTGGCGATGCAGACAGCGGAGCCGGGGGGCTGCGCAGAGCAGGAGGAGGATGCTGAGGAGYTTATTCCCCACTGAACGCCCCAAAATGCCTCCCAGCCCGTCCCAAGCGCGGGGCTGCAAGTATGAGCYGTCCCCGGAGGGGACAAGCAAGCGCAGTGTGCGGACGGAGCTGAGATGCCGGCATCGCTATCCGCGCCTGGGGAACTCCCAGCAGCTYCCGGACTGTGCCCTCCCTGTCTCTGCCAGACAAAGGCTCAGCCATGAACTCGCCTCCGGAGCCAAACAAGCGGCTCCTTTCTGTAGGCTCAATTCTCTTTCTCTATCACGCTATAAGCAGCCCCTCCAGAACCCTCTTYGCCGGCTGCCGCCGCCGCCGAGCCAGCCGGGAAACAGCCGCTCCGCAGCCTGACGGACACCCCGGGGACCGAGCTGRCGACTGTGACCCCCCCGAGTGGCAGCGTCCCTTGGGGAAGGTCACTCGCTCGCTCGTGATCCTGGTGGGTAAAAATAGCCAGGGCAGAGGTGCTGGCGCCTGCGCCCCGAGAGGGACGGGAGGAGCGGCCAAGCCCCCCGAGCCGGGGGGGACAAAGCCAGACCGTGCTCCTCGGCCAAATTTACAAAAAAAAGGCTGAAAAGAATCCCCTTTTAACTGAGCTGGGGGAGGATCCAGAATTCCAGGAGGTTGGAGGCATGAACTCCCCKCCAGGCCTTTTGGGGAGGGGGTGACCCCGCCCCAAAGCCAAACCCTGCAGAGGCATCACCTCTACGGCTCAGCCCTGGCCCCAATTAGACCAGCGCCGAGGCCGGCAGCGCTAATTAGGAGCTGGCAGGCACCAGGATGCCTCTTTCCTAGGAAAAAAACATCTTCTGGAAGACGCTGGCTTGCTTTCCAGGAACAGACTGCTWAACCCCCAAAAASCTCCTTGCTGGGATGGAAGGAGATCATAGACCCCAGAGTCGCCTCTCAGCCCGTGTCACTGCCAGGCACGGATGCCTCCTGATCAAATCATTAACCCCTTGTCAAATATTTATTCAAGCGAGATCAGTCTTCAAAGGAAAGAGCCAAAAACCGAAGGCACATCCCAGTTCAAGTGTTTTCCCGGGCTCTGTCCGGGAATTTTAACACGCCTACATGGCACACGCACGGCCAGCAGTGACTGCAACCAGTTCCTTGGGCTGCTGCCAGCAGAAAAAGCAGGATGGTTGTTAAACAGAGGGTTTGCGTTTAGGGGAGTTTGGGATAAAGCCAGTAAAAAGCTGTAACATTCCCCCCCCCACACCAGATGCAAAACGCTGGAAAGATTCAGAGGTAAAGGCAATTCTTTTTTCAGCTGTGATATGGCAGGGCCACCAACAGGATAGGCTGATCCCCTTCCCCTGCTCCTGCTGCTCACCATCCCACGGGGTTTTTTAAAGGCTAAAGGAAATGAGCTATCACGTGCTTGTGTTATTTTTGTTCCTGGTGAAAGGGGGKAAATCCCTTTCCGGCTCCCCAGCCCAGCCTGGTCCTGCCTGATGCAACCCAGCCCTGTCACCATCTGGAGCACATTTGGTGCAGCCCCCATCCTGGGGCCTCCTGGAGCTGCCCCCGACCACAGCGGGGGGACAACCCCCCTCCAGCCCAGCTCATGCGCGGTAAAAGAAGCCTTAAATCCCAGCGGCTGGTTTGAGTCATCATTTTCCTAGCAGGAGCTGGCAGCTATTTCCATCTGCACTGGTCTTTACAGCCCCCGGCAGGGACAGGACACCCAAACATACAAAAATATCCCAGCAATATCCATGGACTCYCTGCCCAACCCTAATCCAACCCCCTCCACAAACAAAATCCCACTTACAGGAGTTTTTCCACCAGATCTTGGTGTTTCCTGCTTAAAATAACAAGGGATTCCAGGATTTCTCCTGTGGTGAGCAACTCAGAGWCGCCACTTGAAATACCCTTCCCTTCCCAAATACATCCCCAGGATCCCAAATTGTCTCCTGAGGACCGTGTACTCATCAAACACAAGTTTCTCTTTGATTGCAGGAGATAATGAAGCGAGGCTATTAAAAGGTCCTGGCAAATTGCTGTGCTGCTTTTACAGGTGGATGGTTTTTTCCAATCGTATAATCTTTCATTTCAGGATGAGTGCTGGAACGATGTGACCGACAGCCCCAGGGCCTGGAGGATGCCTGTCCCTTGCCTGTCACAGACAAAACGCCATCGAGTACATCCCCACTCGGCATCTTTGGGTCTCATTGGCTTTGTTTGCTCATTCCCAAGATGTCCTGAGGTTGTTGGCACCAATTTCCATGCCAGTAAATGGCARGGTGGGCAAAGGAAGGAGCCATCACCTGGGAGATGGGATGTCACCCTGTTTRGGGCTGGGAGAGAAGGGCAGTGGAGCAGCAGTGGCAGCACTGTCTGCTGTTGTTTCCAAGGATGATTGGATGAAAATTCCCCCAGGAATCTTCGGGAAATGCAATCCTGGGTGATCAGGTGCTACTCATCCCAGATCCCTTTGCAGGGACATCACCAATGAGTTCCACAGTGGTGCCATGGCTCTTGCAGCTGGAGGAGAGGGCAKCACACAGGGACCCTTTGGACTGGACTGGCATCTCTGTCATGGGTGGAAAACCTGAGAATTAGGGTTGGGTTTTTTTGACAGGAAAGGAGTGGACGTGAGTTGAGTTTCACYCACCTCCTTCAAAGCCAGGCAGAAACACCGAGTGGTGACCTGTCCTTGTTTCAGGCACGACTTCAGGGAGCTGGATTACTACAGAAATTCATAAAAGCGTTCAGATTTCCTTTTGCCCATGGCCCAAGCACTGCCAGAGGTTGCAGCCCTCGGGCAGAGTGCCAGGGAGCCGCTCTCCTCCATGGGGCCGTCAGCTCGCGTTAGCTCGGAACAGCAAGCGGGAACCTGCCGGGGGCAGCACAGCGAGGGACGATACCCTGTCCCTCTGCATCACTGGGCTTCCAGAGCCGAGCCAAGGCTTGGCCAGAGAAGTGCAGTTAATTAAGAAGGTCCTTTCTKGCTTCACCCATCCACTGGGATTATATTTTCCTCTTGAATTTTTTTCCTCCCTACATGCTGGATGGGAGAGGGAGCGGGGAGCAGCCCCAGTGCTGGCACCAGGATGTTTGTCCCTGCCCAGGTGATGCCCTGAAGGACTGACAGCCAGCAGGAGACAAGCACCAGGTACTAAGAAGCCAATTTCATGAGTTAAGCCATCGCCACATCCTGACAGCAGCGAGGACCTGGTAACTTAYTCTTCATCCTTTTAATTAATCACACTCTTATCAGCCAGCTCAATCAGCTAATGGAGCCAACTTAATTGTGTTTCCCATGTTTTAAACTCTTCTTGCGCCTCTGGCTGCCAACGRCAGCAATTCCAGCCTTTCCTTGGGTCTGGCCTCCAGAGGGGTTATTTCAGGCTCATCCCTCAGTGCTGGGATAGGGCCAGGAAAGAGCACAGAGCTGGGACAGAGCCAGCCATGCTGAGGCCATTTCCTATGGGATTCAGGGGTGCAGGGGAGTGCCAAGAGTGAGGAAATAATGAAATGCTCCCACCCTCGCTGGTGGATGGGCCTGCAGGGACTGGTCCAGCACCATCCCAAACCCCTCAGCTGAACTGCAGTGGGACCTCAGGGAGCTGCTCCAGCCCGACGGGGCCATGCTGGGTGGGCATTCTGCCCCCAAAACTCACACTGGCAGAAGCAGCYGAGGCAGATGTCCATCCCTGCAGCTCACACTCACAGCTCCATTGGGATCAGCCAGCCATGTGTGCCTGCCTGTGGCTGATGTCCCTGTCCCTGAGAAGGGACACAGCTCGGCCATTCACCAGTGCTGCTTCCCCCATCCTCTGCCAGCCCCTCTGGCTCTCACCAGGATGCTCTGGGGAAGAGGGCACTCTGCCCCCTGCACTCCAGGGGTGTTGATAAGCACAAGGCCACATTCACAGCACGGCCTTGCCATGCTCAGCTCCCTCCTAGAGGCAGGAGAGGCAGGGAGGGCAGTGYGATTCTTACTCCAGATCCTGAATGCCTGTGGAACTGAGGGACAGYGCCAGCCCAGCTGCCTTGCACCCTTAACTGGCCTCAGTTTGCACCAACTCAAGTACCACCAGCTGAGGTACCACTGAGCCCTTGGATCACACTCCACACCAGGTGCCACCAAGCTGAGTCCCACCGAGCAGCCAGGTTTGGGGCTGGCTAGCAGGTGGGGGTGCCAACAAGCCCAGCAGAACGGAGGAGGAGGTGTCCAGGGCTTGTCCCCCATCACTGCCTACTTCTCTCTCCCATCCTCACCCCAGTTCAAAGCCATCTGGCCCCATGGGGAGCCAGCCCCCCGCTGCTGGCCATATTTCCATCTCATCCTGCAGCCACAGGCTGGGGTCAGCAGGGTCTGCCTGGTCCCTGTCCCCCTCCCTGCCTGCTGCAGCGGGGCTGCATCCCACAGACAGCCCTGAAGCAGCCTCAGCTGCCTGTGCACGTGTGGCCACACCGCAGGCACACAAGGAAAGGCAGGGCCCCTGCTCTCCTTTCACCACCAGCATCCGGCAGCACCCCGAGCCTCCCCGCCCCCGGCTGGGAAGGAACTACTTCCCCTGCACCACTACTTTTACAGCCTGGACCCGTTAGCTTCATGCCTCACCAGGAAAATATGTGCAGGAGTGCAGGGCAGGCAGATGCTCACCAARAAGTGCTGCAGCCACTGCCGGTTGTGGCCCTCTGCCCAGGGAAGGTGAGCAGGGACACGGGGCCCCCCTACACTTTCCTGTCTTCCTCCCCGAGTCCCATCAGCGCTGAGGATGGGAGGCAGTGGAAACCCAGAGGTTCTCTCTTGTCTTTTGGGGTCTGGTTGGTGGGTGCTGTACCCACAGCAGCCCTCTCTCCCCAGGGGCACAGCCCAAAATCACAACTGCAAACTGTGRGTGGCCCTATAAAGCCATCCAGGTTTTCTCCGCCTGCAGGCAGCTCTGAGAGGACCTTGAACTCGTTTGGGAAATCACACCTACGAGATTTCATTGCAGGGAAGTTACGAAAGGCTCCCMAGGCCGGAGGGCATAAATCCCAGCACAGCCCAGTTACAGCCAAGARCTCCCATTAAATGCAAAATTAGAGCAGTTCCACTGGCGGGGGCCCTGACTCCTTCTCTCCACTTGCTGGGGCTCTGCTCAGACACCTGGGGAGAAGGGGGAGCATTTGCAGCTTCCTAATTAGCCCAATTACTGCTGCAGATCAAAAGTCCTTTGCTGGGGACACAGTGGCACCTGGAGCAAAGTGACTGCCGCTTGTTCTGGTTTCCCAACAGCAACTGTTGAGGGTGTTATTTTATTGCTCAAACACTGAACTATCCATCCCATAAGAAAAAAAGAAAACTAAGCATCACAACACGCATGCATATATATATATATATATATATATATATATATGTATATATATATATTTTCTCCACTCATCCATGTGCAGTTTTGGAGGTATCTTTGGGAACTTTGCCTTGGAGCTGGGACCCAAATCACTTGCACTTTCAAAGAAAGCTTTTGGAAGGTGCTGACGGCAAAGAACGACATGAAGGCAAGAGATGCCCTGGAGCCCGGCGCAGAGCCCRGCAGGGCAGGGAGAGGATGCTCCCAGCCCCTCCCATCACATCCCGAGCCCCAGGAGTCAGGCAGGCTCCGATAAATCCTGGCTCATGAAGAAGCGCTGAAGCCGGCCAAGCCACTGGAGAGCAATTAGCAGCTTACAATCGTGCAAAAACCAAATGCAACCGGATGAGAAGAAAACGATTGATCTGCCGGGACCTCGGCCGTGCCCAACTGGGCGGCATCCGGCGTGCCGAGAGCCCGCAGCAAAACCACCGAGCCCTCAGTGCCACCGGAGCCTTTCCCCCAAAAGAGGCGGTTCGGGGCTTGTTTGGGCACGAAAATTGAAGCGTTCCCGCAGCATGCGGCTGCCGGGG